CGCTAAGCTGAATGGTGCACTAGGATGGCGTACATCTCACACCGAGACACAGGCAACTGCGTACTTATTTTCTGTCCGTATGACTTCGTCTTTTCTGGATACTTCATATAAACAGTTCCTGTAGTTTTTTCTTTTTCTAGTTTTTTTTTTGGTTTTTTTCCGGTACCAGGAATCGAACTCACGACCTTGCATTTGCCAGGCAGGCACTGTGCCACTGAGCTAAATCCCCAGCCCCTTCTTTTTCTAGTTATACATTATCCTAACCCCCTACTTGTTGTATGACAACATTATAGTTTCTGAGTTTAGCCCACTATAGTAAAATAAATCAAGAGCGGTCCAAAACTCAACTTGATGGCATTTATCCGTGTAGACAGAACTATTCCATTTTTATATACATAATGGAAGTGAAATTGATGTAGCTGTCATCGAGGGTAAATTGACCATATGAACAAAAGTTTTGTAGGTGTTTTTATTTGACTTCGCTTTTCTCCTCTGGATATTGTTTTTTTTTTCTTTTCTTTTTTACAGTCAGGGTCCCCTTGGCAGCACAGGCTTGCCTTGAGCTCACCCTGTAGCTCAGGCTGCACTTGGACTTGTGGTGATCCTCCTAGTTCAGCTTCCTGAGTGCTGGGATTATAGACGTGTGCCACCATGGCTGGGCATCTTTTTAAGGGGGAGTATTAAACAGATTTTGTCTATTCAGTATAATTTAATTTAGCAAACTGTTCCTTGGTCATTTCATGTCATTTTGAAAGACCTGGCTATGACCCTGTCTGAAACAGGAAATGATTTCTGCCCTTGGGTTGTGATGACTGGTCCATAGTTGCCTATGACTGAAGCACTGGGTCTTTTTTGTAAATTTATGAGGTTACGGAGAGGGGAAGGGTCACAGGCTGGAAAAGCTCCTTTGTCTGGGATCACTGGTGACACTTTTGCCGTCATATGACTGAACCAACACAGAGGAGAATGAAAAGTGGACCTGCCAAGTGGAGAGAGTGAGGTTCCTCAAATGGTGCCCCTAAGGGCACCACGTGGACCTCAGTGTCCAGCCGTGCCTGAAGCCAGCTCATCACTTGTACTCCTGTTGCAAAACAAATACATTTTTTTAAAAGCAAGGTTAAGTTTCTATTTACTTGTACTCTGAAGTGTTCTATGTGACTTAAAAATAATTTTTTTTTATGACAGCATTTTGGAGCTAGAATTCACACGCTATAACATACCATTCACCCATTTAACATATGTAGTTCACTGGTTTTTAGTGTACTCACAGATGGTGCAGCCATTGTAACAGTCAGTTTTAGAGCATTTCATCACTCTCAAAAACCCCTGTACCAGAACTCTCAATCCATTTTTCCCGATTGCATTAGTAAGCTTTCCTATTACTACATATAATACTTCACGCTCACCTTAAAAGGAGGAAGGGTTTAATTTAGCTCATGTTGCAAGGGGTTCAGTTCATGGTCTACAGTCTTCAAGGCGAGAAGCGTGGTGGAACAAAGGCTTTCAATTGAGGATGTACAGCAGGGGAGCAACACCAGAGATGAACAGGTGAGGGACCATGTATAGTACTCAAGACCATACCTTCACATCTCCGTGCTGCCCAGACACACCCCAGAGTGTGCTCTACTAAACTGATAGGCATTTCTTAATCCAATGGAATTGACATGTCAAGATTAACAGTGACACTGATACTCAGGCAACCACTAATTTACTTTCTGTCTGTATGACTTGGTTTATTCTGGACACTGTGTAAGTGGGACTGTACAATATATGGTCTTTTGTGACTGGTTTCTTTGGTTTAATGTAATATTTTCAAGGTTCACCTAAGTTATTGCATGTATCAGTGCTTCAGTCTTTTGAATGGCCAAACAATGTTCCATTGTATAAACATACCACATTTTGTTCATGCATTCACCACTTGATTGACATTTGGGTGTTTTCTTCTTTTTTGGCTGTTCCAGATAATATAGCTACAAGAATTCATGCACAAATTTTTACACAGACATATATTTTCATTCCTCTGGGGCTATATATGTATCTGGGAATGGTATTGCTGGGTCATGTGATAATTCTATTTGACCATTTGAGGAACTGTCAGACTTTTAACAAAGTAGCTGTGCCATTTTACTTATTTACCATGAGGGTTCCAACTTTTCACATCCTTGCCAACACTTGTTATTATCTGCCCTTTTGATTATACCCATGCTACTGCATATGAAATGATATATCATGGTGACTTTATGTTTCCCTGATGGCTGGTGATGTAAGTGTATTTTCATGTGTTTATCAGCTGTTTGTGTATCTTCTCTCAAGAGCTGTCCACATCTTTTGTCTATTTTGAGTTGTTCATTTTTTATTGAGCTGTAAGTGTTGTATATACAATTCTCTTACCAAATATATGGCTTGCAAATGTTTTCTCTGGTTCTGTGAGCTGTCTTTCTACTTTTAAAAAATTATTTCTAGTGCTGGAGATTGAACCCAGCATTTCATGAATAGTAGGCAGCTTTCCGTCTCTGAGCCACATCCACATCTCCACTTTTGGATAGTGTCTTTTGAAGCACACAGAGTTTTAGTTTTAATGAGTCCAGTTTGTTTTGTTTGTTTGTTTCAGTCCTAGTGTTTGAATCTGCAGCCTTTCCACTGAGCTGCATTCCCAGCCCATTTTTAATTTACATTTTTTAAGAGAGGGTCTTGCTAAATTGCCAAAGAGGGACTCAAGCTTGCACGCTCCCCTAAGTGCTGAGACTACAGGCATGTGCTCCCCTGCCTACCTCTTCTGTTGCTTTATTTTTGGGTTGGAACTATTGCTAAACCTGAGCTCATGAAGATTTATCCTTAGGGGTTTTATTGTTGTTTTGAGAAAAGGTCTCTCTATGCAGTTCAGGCTGGCCTTGAACCCACTATGGCGATCTTCCTGCCCCAGTCTTGCAAGTGCTGGAATTACAGGCTATAGGCATGTGCCACCACGCCCAGCACTCTGTTTTCAGTGTTACTTTGCTGTTCAGAGTTCTTTGCAATTCCATGTGAATTTGAGAACCAGCTTGGTAATTTCTGCAGAGCAGCAGCCCTGACTGCAGAAGTGGTTAAACTGAAGCCTTAGACCCTCGGGGGAGTGTTGCCATCAGCGTGGAGTCTTCCAGTCCGTGGGCGCAGGGCGCGGTCTTTCCCTTCTATGTAGATCATCATGAACGTCTTTCAGTGATGTTGTTTTTGCAGTAAAAATTCTGCACTTTTATTAAATTTATGCCTGAGTTGTTTTTGTGGGAAGTGAGGGGAAAGAGGACAGTACTAGAAATCAAACCCAGGGGCTTGTGCCTATCTTTTAAAATGAAATTATTTCTCAGAGTTTGTTTGAAGTTTCTTCCCTACAAAAGTAAATAAGTAGAATTTATTTCTGTATATTAATTTCTGTGTCCAGCAACCCTGAACTCATCCATTAGTTCAGGATGATTTTTTTTTTTTTTTTTTTTTTTAGTTGATTCTTTGCTCTTCTTTTCTGTATAGAAGGTCACATCATCTGTGAATAGAGGTGATTTTTCTTCTTCCTTTCCAATCTGGATGCCTTTTATTTATTTTTCTTGGCCAGTTGTCATAGCCAGAGCTATAACCTCTAAGAGAATGTTGAAGTGATGAGAGCAGACATGATTATTTTTTCTTGTTTGAGACAGAATCTCCCTATGTAGTTGAGGATGGCCTTTAACTCACTATGTAGCCCGGGCTAGGCCTCAAACTCATAGCAGACCTCCTGCCTCAGCCTCCCGAATGTTAGGATTACAGAGACATGCACCACCATGCCTAGGGTGAACAGATATCCTTGTCTTGTTTTTGATTTTTGGCAAAAAGGGAAAGTATCGGTATTCAATGTGATATTTAACATAATAAATATGATGATTGAGTATGATAGTAGTAACTGTGAGGTGCTCATAGATGCTTTTTATCAGATTTAGGAAATTTATGTTTTCTGTTAGTATTTTATCTTGAAAAGACACTAGATTTTGTCAAATGAGTTTTTTGCATTTATTGAAATGATAAGGGAGGCTTTAAAATAATGTATGGTAGTACGTAACTGATTTTTTGGAGGAGACGTTAAGTCAGCCTTGCATACTGGGATAGATCTGCTTGGGTTTGGTATGTAACTATTTTTATATGTTGGATAATTCATCTGCTAGTGTTTTGTGAAGGATCTCTGTATCCCTATTCATAAGGGTAGTGCTCTGAATTCTCTTGGGATTTCTTTGGCTTTGGAGTCAGGCCAGTACTTGCATCATAGGAGGTGTTTGGAAGTCCTGCTGTGTGTCCTGTGGAAGATTTAGATTATTTGGTATTCTTTTCTAAATGTTTGAAGCCCACCTGGTCCTGGGCTTTTCTTTGTGGGTAGCTTTATTATTACTGTCGTCATTGTTATCATCATCATCATCAGTCATATCTCCTTGCCGGCTCTCTCTCAGTTCACATCATGTTTTTGAGGTATGTTCGGACAGTCTCGGTCTTTCTTGGAATTTATCTGTTTCATCTATTTTATTGGATAACATCATTCCTTTGTTAGCATTTTATATCTAAGGTTGGCAGTAATGTATCTTTCTTTCTGATTCTAGCTGTTTTTTTCTTGGTCAGTCGAAACTAAAGGTTTAATGATTTTGTGAATCTTTTCAAAGAATGGCCTCTTGGTGTTACTAATACTTTATTTTTAGTTTTTTAAGTTTTTGAGACAGGATTTTGCTGTGTAGTCCAGGCTGGCCTTAAACTCACTAGGTAGCTCAGGCTGGGCTCAAGTCCACGGTGATCCTCCTGCCTCAGTGCTGACATCACAGGCTTGCACCACCACACTCGCCTTGATCTTACTGACTTTTCAAAAATCATTTCTCTGTCTCATAATACTGTCCACATACTAATAAAGATAGAAACTTATTTTTGAATTTGTTTTTTACAATAGGACTTTATTTTTTAAGATTTGTCAAGTATTTTGAAATGTTTTCTGAGCATTATATTCGTTTGATCAGATTCTCGTATGCTTGACACTGAAACCGATTTGAGAGGAAACGTCAGAAGTGACTCGGCACCGCTGAGCAGCGGCAGGGGTGACCGGAAGAAACAGCACAGTGTCACACAGGCGACTCAGACGAGCCCCGAGGCCCCGCCGCCCTCTCCGGCAGTGAGCTTTCCTGAGTGCTCCTTGGACTTCACACGGGAACAGGTACCGTGAAGCCTAATACAGATGCCACTCCAGCAGTTAAATTAAGTGTTGAGATTCTAACAGTTAAGACGTTGGGTTTACTTATGTCAATAAAGTATATCAAGTGCCCCGTGTACCTGAGCACTGTGCTAGATGCTGTCTTCGATTACGGTGTTGAGCAAGATGAACGAAAATACTGTAATTTCTTCCCCTTCCTGCAGTGCTGTCAATATTGTGATTGTTTTTTTATTCTCCAGATCTTTTCCATTTTTTCAAAACTGATACTTAAGGATATACCTTATAGTTTTTTACTTAACATTGTTTGACACTTTTTCACATTGCTACATTTGCTTCATATTGAATTTTAATGGCTGAGTAATATGCATGTGGCTATATTATCATTTCTGAACCTTCCTCTTACCATTTGTTAACATTCAAGTTGCTTCTGATTTTTTCTGTCATTATAAACAAAATGTTCAGCAGAATTTTAATTCACTCTGGAACCACGGAATGAGTTCATTCATCTGTTCATCAGAGATTTATTGGATGACATTTCTGAACGAATGTATAATTGAGCCGTATACCTTCTCTGTGTGCTGAATAACTCAGAGTCTAGTGGCAAAGGCAGGAGTTTGCACTCAGGGGTCGTAGTGTGCCAGGCTAAGTGCTATACCACGGAGTTGAAGTGTGCGGGCAACTGCTGTACCCAATTTGATCTGTAAGGCAGGAAATCTTGGGTTGGGACTAAAAAATGAGAACTGGTTGAAATTAAAAATATGTATTTTATTGTGTGTATATAAATACAAAGTCCTTAGCTTTATTAAATATTTCTATTTAAGGGCTAGGAATGGCTTTAAGAGGACAAAATACTTGAATTATGTATAGGGAAGACCTATTGGCCACCCAGAAGAAACTGTCTGGAGCTTAAGAGAGAGGTTTGTACTGGATCATGATTCCTGTGATAGAGTAGTTGAGCTACAGAAGTAGCTACGACTATCCAAGAGAGTGACTCAAATGACAGGAGCAGACCCGCTGTGGCATCTGATAGAACATGAAAATTCCAGGCTTCCTAGAAGATAAGATGAAAAAGAAATTGATCAAAGTAATAAGCATGAAAGAGGCGGGAAAACCAGAGAAGAGAGGGTCTTGGAAAGAATTGGGGGTCAGCAGTGTCTGACGCTGTGGGGAGGTGACGGTGAGACAGTCACTGTTAAATCACAACCTAGGCGTTAGCGTTTTGGATCCCTGGATCAAAACTTAGGGACATTTTTAAGTTTGTGACAAGTGTTTCCGAGTAGCTGCTCCAAGCAGCTTGCAGTTTAAGTGGACCCTCACCAGCATGGGGTACTTTTACTATCGCAGCTCTCACACTTTGGATGGTGTATAAAATATTGTGTATTTCTTGGAAGTGATGTACATGTTTTTATTTTCCAATTTATCTTTTCAGCTCATAGAAGAGAATGAATCTCTTAAACAGGAACTGGCGAAAGCTAAAATGGCTCTTGCAGAGGCTCACTTAGAAAAAGACGCGCTTCTTCATCAGATAAAGAAGATGACAGGTGAATAACAGGAGTGGTGATCAGAACTCAGACTACAGCTCAGGAGTAGGAAGGTTGTATTCATAATGCACATGTTACGAGAGGGTGGAAGACTTTCCTTTTCAGGAAGTTAAAATGACACGGAATATAGCGAGGTGGTGACTGTTCCAAAGCCAGTTTGGAAAGTATTAGGTACGAACATTACAACCTTGCAGTTGTTCTGCGTTCGGGGATTCAACCCCTTTTAAACCAGTGTGATCCAGGGAAGTCAGCACATACTGTAAAATAATTACATGCTTAATGATAGCCAGATGTTATTTCCTAATTTTGATAATCTCATTGTAAGAATTTTTTTAAAGAAAAAGAAAACCTGTTGTGTTCACATGGATTATTGAATTTATTTCTCATTATTTGTTAATAATTTACTACTCTTCACAGAGATTCAAATGCTTTTAGGGCTACTGTAAAGTAAAAGGAGGCTTACATTTTAAATGTTATTAAAATTATGTACTTAACTCTATAATTATTTAATTACTGTAAAAAGTCTAATTAAATTAATAAATTATATAATTAATAAGTTGAAGAACCGAAAAACCTTCACCCTACTGAACTTACTAAAGTAACTTGAAAATGTGAAAAAAGCCACTTTAGACAATGGGTAAACTATGTAAGTGGAAGCTATAATTTTCACAGAAAGATCGTACAAATGTAAAAATAAAAAGCACAAATATTAGCATAGTCAAGTAATTTATAAGGCATTACTTGTACATTCCTTTAAAATTTTATTGTTGAAGTGAAATTTAATTGCCCTAAATTTGGCAGCATTTGTAATTATAAAAATTTTAATTAGTACTATTTGTATTATTTCTTTACCTTTATCATTCCTCTTTAAGAAGAATGTTTTTGGGGAATTTATCTTTCACACACTTAAAATAATTTCATATCATTCTTGTAATATTATATTAGGTAGGTGTTTGCACATACTGAATTTATAAAGCTAGTTTTGATTAAAGCTCTATGTGATATATACATATATACATATATATATATAGTCTTCTATGGTAAGAGTTATTGTTAAATTTTGAATTCTATTTTGTAGGAATTAAGGTTGAAAACAACATGAGAGAATCTTAATCATGCTTTATGAAATAAAAGTATATGAATGTAAAGAACAGAGGCTTTGAAGATCTAAAATGTATGTCTGATAGCATTAACCTAAGTGGTGTCTATTTTAAAAATTCACATTCTTAGACATAAGTATATCCAAGTCAGAACATGAAACACCTGGACTATTCTTTTTTTTTTTTTTTTTTTTCCTTTTAAAGATACTTGAAAGTTCTGAACCACGTTGCCACACTTCCTGGTGCTTTGCCTGCGTGGCATGACTTACAGAGCTGTCCTTGTTCGGAGTGCTTGAGGGGCACATGCCTCGTTTACATTGAGCGTTGGAGTGGTATAGGTTTTGTTGAGAACAGTTCTGGCATTGTTTCTCATACATCATCCATGGTCATTGACATTACTTAAAAATACAGGAACTGTTTGGAGAGCTGAGGATACAGGCAAGAACAAATTAAATTGTTATTATTTTACCACAGAGTATTTTAAAAATCGTGAAACTATGCTAACCTAAAACTGTATATTACCTGTAGATTAACACAGAGGTCTAATCAAAGATTTAAAGTATATAGCTCACATTTTTAAGTGGAGAAATTTTGATTTGTAGGTATGTACTTAGCAAAAACAGTCTGTATTATGGAAAAGAAAGATTGATGGGACCTTAACTTCTTCTGAGCTGACGGTGTTTCTATTGCCTTGTTCTATATAAATTAAAATTTTTTTCTGTGGTATATCATAATTGCTTAACGTTATAGAAGCTGAATGTTTTCCTTATTCTTTTTAAATGTATTTGACCTTCCCAAGAAAATCATATAAACAAGAATTGATAAAATTCTGAACATTCTATGTGCGTCGTTTGATTTTTTTAAAAGGAAGAATATTATTTTAATAGAGCTTTAAAATTCATAACACACTGCCAAAAACATTGTGTCATTAATATCTAATTCCTACAATAAACTGTGATATTAGCTTGATTACAATCAGCTTGATACTATCCAACTACTGGAAGTCTCAGAAAGGACAAGTGAATTGACTAAAATTATAATTATAACCTGATCTTTGGACTTTCAGCCCACCTAATGCTTTTATTTTAGTTGATAATTAATTCACAGATTTTGCAGGGCCAGGGGTAAAAGGAGGAATCATTGTCTCACCTTTTTCCTTTTAAGATGATTATATACTTTTAACAGTATGTGTATGTGTGTTGTTGGACGTGTTGTGTGTGTGTTATTCAGATTACTTAAAACGTAGTGGGACAGTTTGTTAAGTTAACCCCCAACTGTTCAGCAAATACAAACTTATCAAGGTTTTTTAAATGACTATGAAGTTGTCATACTGTGAAATATTTTTTGGTTAAATTTCTAGAAGACAGATGTTAATGATTAGGAGATGGAAATAATGATTGTGCTTTGCTTTTTATTTTATGTTTTTTGGTTTGAGGGAGAGTCTTTGTTTTGTTTCATTTTTATTTTTAGTTGGTAAGTAAAAATTGTATTTATGGGGTGCAGCATGATGTTTGATATATGTATACATTGTAGAATGGAGAAGTCACACTAACATGTGCATTATCTCACTTCTTTCTATTAAAAATATTTCAATCTGCTCCCTAGCATTTTTCTGTTTACAACATAGTGTTGTTAACTGTAGTCACCATAGTGTACAATATATCTCTTGAATTTATTACTCCAACTAAAATTTTGTGCCCTTGGGCAAACACTCCCTCACACCTGTACAGCCTTTGATAATCATCATTTTACTCTCCATTCCTGAGTTCAGTTTTGTTACATTTCACATTTGAGCAAGATCATGCAGTATCTGTCTCCCTATACCTGGCTTATTTTACTTACTGTGATGCCCCTCATATTAATCCATATTGTCGGAAATGGCAGGATTAAATAGTATTCTATTGTGCTTATATTCTACATTTTCTTTCTCTTCTTCTTCTTTTGGTCTTTTTGAGACAAGGTCTTGCTATGCAGTTCAGGCTGGCTTGGAACTCACAGTGGTCCTCCTGCCTTAGCCTCCTGAGTGGTAGGATTGCAGGCAGCACCACCATGCCCGCATATTCTACATTTTCTTTATCTGTTTGTTGGAGGATGCTTCGTTGATCCCATAACTTGGCTTTTGTGAATATTGCTGCTGTGGACATGGTATTGCAGATGCTTCTTCAACATACTGATTTCATCTGAGATTCCATTTTGAATTTCGTGATGGCCTTGCCCTTTGTTCTTCCTAACAGCTGTACTCGTTTACATTTCTACCAACAGTGAGCAAGAGTTTCTTTTTCCACATTCTCACCAACACTGGTTATCTCCCATCTTTCTCTTAGTAACCATTCAATAGGCATGAGGTGCTGCCGTGGTTTTCATCTGCTTTCCCCTAAAGATGGGTGATATTGAGCGTTTTTGTCATATCCTGTTGAACATTTGTGTGTCCCTTTTTGAGAACTATCTATTAAGCCATTTGCCCATTTTTAATTGTGTTTTTTCTTTTGTTGACATTGCATTTTTTATACCTTTTGCATGTTAACCCTTTCTCCGATGTATGGTATGAAAATATATTGTCCCTTTTGAAGATGACATTATGTAATATAACAACCACTGTTAATATCCTATCACAATGTTTTGATTTTTTTTTTAAATTTTTTTTCTGGTACTGGGAGTCAAACTCATGACCTTGCGCTTGCCAGGCAGGTGCTGTGCCGCTGAGCTAAATCCCCAGCCCCAATGTTTTGAAATTCTGTATCATTTTTATTATTCTCTGTGTTCTTTAGTTTATATATTTGTTTTTGTTATTTTGGGTTTTTTTAAATGAAAAACAAAATTTATATGTAATAAACAGGATGACACATAAATGTTAGGATAGTTGGAATAGGTGTATTGCTGATGTCTGTGGTTTATTGAAAGGAACACTCAATGCTTAAAATTTTCTCTTTTTTTGACCAATTTTGCACCCTTGAATCTGGTAATCAGAATGACTGATCTGAAAACAACAATATGCAGTATAAGAACCATTGTTGAACTCCTGTCATCTTGTATGGTGAAGCTCTACATCATTTCCAATGTTATTGTTTTATTACTTGTTACTGTCTTTGATTGTTTGATCAATCTTACATTCTTATGTCTGGTGGACTGAGCACCTTCACTGAAGATAGCAGTATGTAACGTAGCAACCATTGTAAATTCCTATGATTTTGTTTTGGGGTCAAGTATCGTTTTTGTTGTTTTTGTGTTTTGATTTTGTCTTCATTGTTTTGTTAGTTTTTTTAATTTTTAAAATAAAAATTTAAAAAAACAAAGAAAATATATTGGCCCATTCTCTAGGTTGTCTCTTCTCCCTTGATTATTTCCTTTGCTGTACAGAAGCTTTTTGTTGGCTATAATCCCATTTGTCTATTTTACCTATATTGCGTGTGCTTTGGGGGTTATAGCCAGAAAATCGTTGCCTAGACCAGTCTCAGGGGATCTTCCTCTGTTTTGGTCTAGTATTTTTACAGCTTCTGGTCATATGTTTAAGTCTTTTGGTCATTTTGAGTTGTTTTTTGGGTGTAGTGAGGGAGGAGAAGACATACATGAAGACAGTTTTTTTTAGCACCATTTATTGGAGGTGTGTTCTCTATTGTATGTTCTTGGTATCTTTGTTGAAGATCAGTTGATCATAAATGCATGGATTTATTTCTGGGCTGTTTTGTTCCTTTGGTCTGTATATCTGTCTTTACACCAGTACCATGCTGTTTTGATTACTACAGCTTTGCTGTGGACTTTTTTTTAAGAGAAAAAAGAAAACTAACAAAACAACAGCAATGAAGACAAAAACAACAACAACAAAAACAATACGTGACCTCAAAACAAAATGATACCAATTAACAATAGTTGCTATATTACATACTGTTATCTTCAATGAAG